GACATCAACTGATGTTAAGCTAAATTAAACCTATTCTGTATGAATCATTAAAAAGAAATTGGTCATTCTGGAAAAATAGGTTGAATGCTGACCCTGAATGATGTAAACATGAGCACAGCAGGATGAGCAAAGATTACATATTATCCTTTCAGAAAAATACATCCTAGAGGGAGTCCATGAGGTTTCCAATGGGGACTCAGCATATCTGACTGATTCAGTATTTGAAGACTTGCCTGCCTTCATTCCCCAACCAGAGGGTCTTTAGGTGTGCCACTCAATACCACAGCTCCATGTTTGACTTTACTCAGCACTTAGACCTTTTGAAATCCAGCGTGTTTGTTTTCCTGGTGTTGGTGCACTGAATGATGGTGTTGGCATTTATCTGTCCGTCTCTCTTGAACTGGAGGAAATGTAAGATGCAGGAGCAATGCTGTCTTTTCTGTTTGCTCATTGCAGTATTCCAGGCATCGGAGCCATCTGTGGAGAGTGATGTGGACCTAATGAATAAACAAATGTTTAGAGTTTGTCTGATAACTCTTTCTTAACTATGACTCAGGCTCCAGAGTGCATTCTTGTTATTGTTGTGTTGGTCCATGTTACATAGCTATTTGAGTGAACGGGGTACATAATTCACAACAACATGGAATCCTTTCCACTGTCCATATCTAGAACACTTCATCACCCCAAGAAGTTCTTCGAAGTCAATCAACACCCCTGCTCTGCAGGGGGCTGGGAATGACCCTCATCTTTCTGTCTTCACTTGATCACTGTTGGAGCCACAAATCATTTGGATTCATTTTGGCATCATTTTTATGGTTGAAGTAAAGTAGTTGCTTAAGCATTTCACAGCAATTTGAAAGTAAATGTGGGTATGTTTTAACAATGGACAATTTGTACAAATAAACTCAAATGACACTAAACATAATCTCAAAAGCAATTGCCTTGATAAAACATACTTAATGCATTATGTAGTTATTTAATGTTAAACTAAAAAAGCATGGAATAATTTTATTTTATCTACACTTTTAGTAGCCATTTATATAAGACAAATGCTAATAAGTAAAAGAAGCTTTTAAAAGAAAACATGAAGTACTGTGGTTAAGATAATTCAGCACTACCAGGTGGTTGTAGTACATTCCTTTATCCCAACTCTTAGGAAGCAGAGACTGGTGGGAGTTTGAGGCCAGCCTAAGTGAGTTCCAGGACAGCCATGGCAGTTACGCAGAGAAACCCTGTCTCAAGAAACTTTAAAAAAGAAAAGATAATATAGCACTAGCATCAATAGATGAACATGAAAGAATCTGGGCTCTAGTGTATTTTAGACCTTAGCAAGAGTAAAGGAGTAATTTCATATTATTGGAAAATGGTAACAGTTAGTGAGAACTCATACCTAGCATCATTGTTTGTCATCTTTGATCAAACAAACCAAGAACTATGCAATATTAGAAATTTAGTTTCATGTACGCACATGCATGTTTAGCTACAATAATATGTTTTGAGAAATGGTTAGTCAATTTTTGTTATTGTTTTGTGTGTGACTGTCATGGAGTGTTGTTCTTACAGAGACCTAGATACAGAGTCTATGCTGTACTGTGTGGTATAGCTTATTGCTGATAGGCTGCATATCAATTATAGCATGTCACCATACACAGTATTTGTATATCTAAGTATATAACACAGGACAGTATGGCAAAAATATCGTACAAAAGGTAGTAAATGATATACACCTGTGTGGAACACTTACTATAAATGGAGTTTGCTAAAGTTTGAGTCCCTGGGTAAATGGAGTAAGTGTGAAGGCTGACGGCATGATAGTCCGCTGTTGTGGACTTCACAGTACTCTGCACTTAGGCTCAACTATTTTATAAAAGCTATTTTTCATTCTTCAGCAATAAATCCTCTTACTTTATTCTAGCTTTTATACTTTAAATTTTAAAGTTTTTAAAAACTTAGACTTATAATAATACTTAGTTTAAGACATTACCGTTATATTAAAAGCTTTTTTCTTTTTAATCTTGTTTGCAATAAGAGTACCATGTATCCTGGGCTGGCATTGAAATCAGCAGCCTAGAATGACTTTAAACTACTGGTGCTCCTGACTCCATTTCCCTACAGTTAAGGTTACAGGCAGGCACCCACTGTGCCTGGGTTATGCAATGTTGAAGAGTGAACCTAAAGTTTTGTACAATCTGGACAAGCACTGTACCAAATGAACTGTATCCTCAGCTACCTAAAAGCCTTTGTCTGTTCAAAAATATTTGTGTGTGGGTAGAGGCATGTACTGCATACCTTTAATCCCAGCACTCAGGAGGTAGAGGCGAGTGGATCTCTGAGTTCAAGGCCAGCCTGATCTACATGGTGAGTTCCAAGACAGCCAGGGCTAGGTAGAGCGAACCTGCTTTTAAAAAATAACATACATATATACAGGCATGCAAGCATGCATACTTGCATATGCGTTTAGGGTGTGTGTGTATGTGAGAGAGAGAGAGAGAGAGAGAGAGAGAGAGAGAGCTTATGAAGTCCAACAGTCCAGCAATGTACCACCCACCCCCCTTTTTCAGACATAGTTTCTCTAGGGCCTGGAGCTCACCAACTAGGCTTCACTGACCAGCAGTTTAGCCCCAGGAATCCACCCGTCTCTGCCTCCCTAGCAAAGGGTTTGTAATTTTGGGCCACCACACCAAGATTTTCCTATGTGGGTTCTGGAAATCATCTCCTCAGCCCCAAAAGTCATTTCATGTTGTTTTGTTGCTTTTTAAGTGTTTCTGTTACAAATGAAGACATAAATGTTAGCACAGGACTATGCAGGACCACATCCTGTCCCACTGGAAGGTCTTCAAAGGCCGTGACATTCAAAAAGCTATAACCTCCTATGATCACAATGCCTGGAATATTTCTTTCTTAATTTGGGTTTTTGTTGCTGTGTTGAAATACCATGACCAAAAGCAACTTTGGAAGGAAAGGGTTGATTTCATTTTAAACTTCTAGGTAATAGTCCAAGAGGAAACTCATGGCAGGAATTCAGGCAGGGTAGGAACTGATACAGAGGCCATGGAGGAGTACTACTTACTGGTTTGCTTCTTAAGCCTTGCTCAGCCTGCTTTGTTAAATAGCCCAGGGTCACCTTCACAAAGGTGGCCACATGCTGGCCCTCCCATGTCAATACACCACAGGCTTTCCCACAGGCCAGTCTTGTGGTGTCATTTTTCTCAAGTGACCCTCCATCTTCTCAAATGACTCTGGCTTGCATCAGGTTTATATAAAACTAGCCAGTGCAATTTCCTAACTTTCTGCATGGATAGACTCACAAGCAAGGCTAGGGAAGAAGGTGATAAGGGAGGGAGGACTCTAAAGAAACCATTGAAAACATGGTATGGAAACTAAATAAACTAATAACGCACTCATTCCTTTTATTATTACTATCTTCTCCAGTATTCTGTACTTTATGTGCAGTGTTTTGTGAATGGTTAGCACAGTTGGTTTGTGTGCCCAGTGTCATCACAAGTATACGAGTGACAGATACATTGTACTATGACATTACACTGTAGCATTGTCAGATAATAGGAATTTTTCACCTCTACTGTAAGTGACAGGACCACCACTGTATACATGTGCACAATCCATTCTTGACCAAATCTCACTACTCATATAGGACTCTGTGTGTGTGTGTATAGGAAAACTTGACTTACTCTAAAAACCATGTCTAGACTGATAAGCACCAATGTCCCAAAGCACCAAAATCAGAACCAACTAAGATAAGTGAAATTTGTGAAGCAGTGGTTGGCCAAAAATGTGAAATAGCTAGTACTGAAAACATGAAGAAGGGAAGGCCTTCTTCCGCATTGTTGGTGGAGAATGGAAAATAGTGCTTCAGCTTCTATTAATACATAAGGCATGAGCCCCTCATGCCACATAGCCTTACATAGTGTGTTTAACAAATGGCATCACCCTGTATAAACATAGATGCCCCAGTGGGCCCACTGAAGTACCTCCTGTGATAACCTCAGACTTCAGCAGATATGTTGTGGTCCTTTGTCTTCTGGAGTGCTACACATCTTTAAAACAATTGTGTGTATATTTTCTTGTTGAAGGACTAACCACTTGGTATTACCAAATGCCAAACATGTTTGGAGTATTTATTGCACATCCTATTTAAAAAGTTATAAATACACACACACACACACACACACACACACACACACACACACACACACACACACACAGACAGACACACACACGAGAAAGAGAGAGAGAGAGAGAGAGAGAGAGAGAGAGAGAGAGAGAGAGAGAATATCAAATCTAACAACTGCTCTGTTATCAGGAGTGAGAAAAAGAGAGTAGTTGGAATTACTAAAGTTAATTCTCTCTCCATTGTTTAATTTGGTATAATTTTAATTTTAAAAGTCTCATAATTGATTGTACATGAATATATTCACCATTGAATGGACACAGATAGTTTGGCTTTGGATATGCATGAGTACCACTGAGTACCATGCATGTATCCTAAGATCAGAGACTCAACATTGCTACATTTACTCAGAGATACAAGTCAGTTAGCAAGTTTCTTTTGTCCAATGTGCTGATAGTCATCTGTAAAGCTACATGTGGTTCTGAAGTTGTAATTTGTACTTACTTTTTCAATTCAGTCATTAATAATTAGTGAATAAACTAGCTTGTGGAAGAAATCACCCTGAGCTAGATAGCAGTATTTCATTTTTGTCTGTGTTACATTCCTCCTGATTCACTATTTATAAACTACTCGATCTAAAGTGTATGGTCCTTCTGTGCCCATGTTTAACTACGGTCAAATCAAACAGCATCTCTTGACAGTGCTAACTGTTCTTGAGTGTGGTGCATGGCTCAGAACCCTCAACTTGGGAGGCAGAGGGAGGGAAGATTGCTGCAAGTGAGACTCTTAAAAACGAGTTATTTTCTTCAACAGGCTTGTGTTGTGTACATTTGATGCAAAGATTGCTTATCATTTTTCTCTTTTATTTCAGAGCGCTTTACGGTGTACAGCTCTAAAAGCCTCAGACAAGCATGGAATAAGTAAGTCTGTACACAGATGGTGTTTAAACCCCCCATCTGTCTGCAACTCACTGAGTGAGTTTGTCACAGTGTGCTTTCATTCACTGATGTTGTATCCATCCATTCGCTTAAACACAAAGTAACCCTTACTGCTTACCGTCTCCCATGTTCAGACAGAGTCAACAGTGTGGCATTGTATGAGAATTGTAAATTCTAGAATCTACTGTAGGCCATCTTGTAACCAAGTGCTGGGAAGTATTTAGTATTGGCAGAGTAACTTACAAAATACACTATAGTAACAGATTTCTAACAAACGGTATGATGACTAGTACTTAGTTATATAAAAATGAATTTTTTTCCAGCTAACCTACTTTTCCTCCTCTAAACCACACTGGGGAGCTAGGTAAATTTATCACTTGAAGTATATATACTCCTTTTTTTTTTCATTTCTCTCATTTCATCTGCTCTTATCCTACGAAGGTCGGTGCGAGGGTTTGAATGGTTGCCACACTGTCCAAACAACTTTAAGTTAATCCCCGTGACCCACATGAAGGTAGGAGGAGGGAATCAACTCCACAAAGGTGTCCTCTGACATCTACATGCATATAGTGCTCCACACATACCCTCATACATGAAAATAACAAGTAAATAAAATGTATTTATTGATTTGAAAAGCTGACAAGGGACACTTGGGGTTTACAAATCATCCAGGAGTCTTGAGTGCATTCCAACTTGTTATTGGATCGCTAAAAGTTGGAAAGCAGGTCAAGTTGTCCACTTTACCTTTGACATCACATTTCAAATACCACACTGCAGAAACTGTAAATGTGACTCCTTTGATTAAGTAAATTATCATTCATTCTAACATGTTGTCTGCAGGGAATCTGGTAGAACAGTCTTCATACTGTTGTGACATTTTAATTCAGGGCATTGTTGATTAGGACAATAAAAGGAAAAATTTTATATAAGAATGCATTTAATCTATGCCCAACTCGGTGGGCAGCTGATAGTGAGAAGTTCTTAGGATGAATATATTACATTCTGCAATAATAACAGATTTAACCATTTTTTAAAATTAATTACATATTTAGAAAAATAACTGGTATGATTATTTTTGCCTCCTACAAAGCTTTTATTAAAAAAGAATGCATGTAGCTATTTTCACTATTAGGATATGTGCATTGTACAAAGTGATGAATTCCATGATACTTTTCTTAAAATGTATCATGTATTTTACTCTTTTATTATTTATGGATACGTAAAGCTCTATTTTATTTGCATACCACATTTTCTTTATTTCTTCAAGTATTGATGGACACCAAAGTCAATGTCTTAAGTTGGCTATTATGAACCATGCCCTCTAATCACAGCAAGCATCTCTGTAGTGGGCTGACTTACATTCTATTGTGTGTGTTCCTGAGGGCAAGATAGCTAGCTCGTCCACACCCATATGCTAGCTGTTCTCAGCATTTAAAGGGTCAGTCAGTTCTTTGGGGGGGCACACCCTGTGCAGGCTGCATTCTGAAATTAGTCCTTTTGCAGGAAGGTGGGGGGAACTGAAAACATCATACTAAGCAAAATACGTTAAAGTCAGAAAAATAAATATGGTATGTTTTCTGTTACACACACACACACACACACACACACACACACACAAATAACATAAAAGTAGAAATGTCATCATTCAGGAAGAAGAAAGGACTACCATCTGGGAAAATAGGAGAGAATAGTATAGGTATATAAGGAAAAGCACATGATATATTTTAATGAAGATATGAAATCCAATCACATTGTACAATGCATATATATTAATAACTATTTTTAAGTTGTAGAATATTTTTAAATTACTAAATTGATTATGAAAACACGCTTCTAAGATATATTTCACATAGTCATCGTACCATGAACACTTGATGAATTTAAATTAAGCATGTTTGGTTTTAAAACAAAGAATGTATTTATCATAGTGAAAACACAAAGCTGAAGTTTGTAATTATTTGGCTGACAATAAAGCCAGAATTTGAAATGAAAAAAAAAATTACTAAATTGAAGCAATTGATGAAATATCTTGTACTATATAATGGATTCAAAGTAATTTCCAAGAATTCAAATTATTTGGTTAATAATGATGGTAAGCTAATCCAAAAGCAAAAACAAAAAATAGGCTGCTGCTCAAAATTAAGTAACAATATTCAGAAGATTAAGTTTCAAAATTAAGTAACAATATCTTTAAAGGTAGCCATTATCTGAGCCATGGAAACCATGGGGGGTGTTGGCCTGCCAAAGAAAACAGGTGTTTCCTGAGGAGAAGTGGCTATCACAAGTAATCCAGCTCACATGTTAGCCACATCTGCCCTAGGTTACACCACTGAAAAACTACCACATCTGTCACTAGATGACGTAGTCTGTAAGGTTAAGATATCTTTATTTATATAAACAGCAGCCAAACGCAGGCCAGAGCGTGCCAGGGGCAGCAAGGCTGGGAGGCCAGAGAGAAGGGGCTCCCATGTGCCTTGCAGCCCCTTAAAACCCTATCACGTGTCATCCTGACCTCAACTTGACCATGCCCTGATAGGCGTGGTCAGGCACACCTGTAGCCAGCTTCTAGCAGGCGTGGCTTACACTGTTCCCTACAATTCCCCTTTTAGTCTAAAAGAGGAATAAAGCTTAACAGTGTAAAGTATCCAAAATTAACAATCATAAAGGTAAAATACAAGAAGATACAATAATCTGCTATGGCACATCCTAATGATGTCTACATCCGCTAAACCCTAAGGCCATCTGAAAGAGGTGTCCAAGCCTGAATACCTTCTTCCAATCCCAACCATAAACAATAGTAAGCTATCCCTAACTAGGCTTACACTACCCTAATAGATAATAATGGGGGATGGGATGTAGCATCCTCCAAGTTACTTCCCACTGAAATGGGATGACGGTAGCCTCATGGGGTGCTGTGGGAAGAGAATGTTAGTATAGTGAAAGTCTCCAATGGGTTATATCCAGTACATGTTAGATTGGATTTGCTTGATTGAAGATCTAGGTTGAAATCCTCAACTTGATTGAAGTCAGTACCGAAGCTCTAGTCGGAGTGTCAGTTGAAATGGAGTAAGTTGTATCCAGTGCAGTCTAAGAGGTATGGCCCAATTTCCTTCTGGAGCGTCCAGGGATTGCTATCAGGCAGGGCTTCATTGGCTGTGTGGGACTCAAACATAAGTGTTAGCAGAGAAATGTTTGCTTGTATGTATATGCATGCTGGAAAAGGCAACCATGGAAAAATAATAATTATGAAACAGTGTACACCTTGAAGGAAAGAGCCAAGAAAGACAAAGGCAGTCCCCAAATTCTTCTCTCGTTCTGTATTACATCAATTGGCTTCTTGATACAATACAGAAACTCTAAAGTTTAGTTAAACAATGTGCTTGGATTTTAGAGGAGGAAAGCCAAATCCAACTCTAAATCCAGCATTGATTTACTTGAATAGGGACTAGAAAAATAAAGAGAAATAGAGTTGAGAGGTAGCTGTAAAGTATACCATATGGCACATTCCTTTTGTTTGATTGTTATAGCTACCTTCTCTTCTTAAGCATCTACCCATGTAGTGTTCTTGGACTTCTGGAGCTGAGTTTTCCTGTGAAGATAGAAGCAAAACACTTCCCTTTCCTTTGGGAGGTTTCTATTTAGTTTATGAGATATACCTCAGTAAAATACCTGTCACTTGTCCTTGTTGAGAGGTTTGTTTTTTTTTAAACTCAAATCTTGATCAACTTTGATGGTATCCACAGTTTTTCTTTTCCTGTGGAAACAAATGCAAAACCCTTACCCCAATGTAAAACACATGTCCAGGCTTCCATACTGAAGTTAGTACATCTTTGAAATATACTGGTTGATTCAGTTCAGCAGTTTTTTTCATAGTCCAGTGTCTTTCTGCAGCTGATTGTCTTTTTTCATTGGCATTAAGAAAGTTTAGTGTCAATAAAGCATTATGCAACCTATGTTTGGGGGAGGGGTTGTCTTCCCAGTCTGTCTATGGAGCATCTCCTTAAGTGTTCTATTAGATCTCTCAACCACTGCTTGTCCTCTAGGATTGAGTGATATACTGGTGACATGCTTTATGTTATAATATTTGAAAAACTTTTCCATTTTTGTGGAGACATATGCTGGAGCATTCAGTTTTTATTTGTGCAGGTATGCCCATAACTGCCATCACCTTTAGCAGGTGTGTAATAACAGAATCAGCTTTTTCAGAGTTGAGAGCAGTAGCCCATTGGAACTCTGAGAATGTGTCTATAGTATGATGCACATATTTCAAATTTCCAAATTTTTATTAGTTCAAGTTGGGAACAAACTTGTTTCATATGTAAATCCCTTAAATTTCCAAATTGTGTAAAGTGAAAGACATCCATCTGCCAGACCTCATTCCTCTGAATGCCTTTAGGATTATAGCCTGCTGGCAATGGATTTTGGTTATAAAAGGAACAAGAAGGACAGTTTCTCACTATCTCCTTGGCTTGTTGCCATGTGATGGAGAACTCCTTTTTTTAAACCTTTGCTATTTACATGATGTTTCTTATGAAATTCTAAGGCTTCTAGCACACTTCCAATTAATAAATGATCAATCCCGTCATTGCCTTGTGCTAGTGGGCCTGGCAGATCCGTATGGGATCTGATTTGTGTAATGTATAGAGGATTACTTCTGTTTCTGATTGTTTCCTGTAATT